TTGTGAGTTCAATTCCTGGTATCAGAAAAAAACAAAACAAAACAAAAAAGAATAGTTGCAGTGGTCACAAGAATTTTATAATTGAATAACTCTGAAAGAATCAACCTAGCAGCAGTCTAAGTACAGCAATGGAATGTATTCCAGTTTTACATTTCTACTTAGAAATATTTTCCTAGTTCTCTTACTATATGAGAAAATTATTTCCAGCTATTTGAAAGCTTAGAAACTAGATTATAGGATTGTTTTTCTAAAGACAAAAAAGGTAATACTTTAAAAGATTAGTTAGCCAATGACAGCTACATGGAAAAGGGAAATAGTTGGAACAACCATCAATATTTTACAACAGTAATCCAAGGATGCATGTATAAAAGTGTACATGATTTGTGTCTTGCAAAAATAATCCTTTCTCTAGTATTTTTCTCTGACAGACATTTCTTTACATTTTTTTCCATGTTACAGTTTAATGCCCTTGACAGGTTCACTTCACTGTCTTTGAATCTACTTTTCCAACCATCTGTCCTCTTCCACCATTCTGTAACTTCTTGGCTTGTTTTACTTTGAAGTTTTTTTATCCCCCTTTGGTACTGGGAATCAAACTCAGGACCTTGCACTTGCAAGACAGGCACTGAGCCACTTAACTATATCCCTGGCCCTAACTTTGAAGTTCTTTAAGGCACAGAAGGTATTAGAAGCAGGCTTGGTGGCATATGGCTGTAATACCAGCACCCTGGCAGAATGAGGAAGGAAGATTGCAAGTTTGAGGCTGGCCCTAGTAACTTGGCAGTTAGACCCTGTCTTAAAATTAAAAATAAAAAATGGACTGGGGATGTAACTCACTGTGAAAGCCCTGGATTCATTTCCCAGTACTGTGGGGTGTGCCTGTAATCCAGCACTCAAGAGGCCGAGATACAAGAATTCCTGCAAGTTCAAGGCCAGCCTGGACTACATAGTATGTTCAAGACTAGCCTAAAGTAGTACATAACAAGACCCTGTCTCAAAAAAAGTGTTTGTTGTTTCTTTTATTTTTTATTCTTTCCCACACTGAAACAGTTTTGTTTAGATTCTTTGTTATTTGTCTAGCAGGTAGGGTATAATTTGTACTGGGTCTCTTTTAAAAGCCTCATATGCTAGATTCTTGTATAATTCCTTTCTCCAACAAATGTGCCAAAGTTGACAAACTGTTATTAATTCTTTTCTAGAAGAAAACTGGAAAGCTGAAGACTTTTTAATGAAATTCAAGGAACACCAAGATAAGTATTCTAGATCAGTCGCATGTATTAACCACAAAAAACTGATAAAGCAGAACAGTAGTATATGTGAAAAGACCTTTACCCTAGTCAAAAAGCCTGTTAATCCAAAAAATCTAACTCCTAAATATGACACTCATGGAAAGACTTTGGAAAATGTCTCAGAATTAATAATCAATAATCTAAGTCCTGCAAGAAAAAGACTTAATGAGTATAATGAATTTGGGAAATCATTTCTTAATACTAAGCAAGAAACAGCTCATCCTGAAATCAAATCCTGTAATCAGAGTGGTAGAGTTTTTAGTCACAGTGATGTGATTATGCAGTATCAGAAGATGGTAACACCAACACAGTCGTTTGCATATAATGACTGTGAAAAGCCATTCCTTAAAAAGGGAGGCTTAATTATACCTAATAGAGTATGTAGAGGGGAAAACCCATCTGTATATAATAAAAAGAGAAGAGCAACCAATATTGAAAAAAAACATACCTGCCCTGAATGTGGGAAATCTTTCTGCAGGAAGTCAGTATTAATACTTCATCAGGGAATTCACACAGAGGAAAAACCCTATCAATGTCCTGAGTGTGGAAATGCATTTAGAAGGAAGTCATATCTCATTGACCATCAAAGAACTCACACAGGAGAGAAGCCCTTTGTTTGTAATGAATGTGGTAAGTCCTTTCGCCTAAAGACAGCCCTCAATGATCATCAGAGAACACACACAGGAGAGAAGTCCTATGAGTGTCCACAGTGTAGGAATGCCTTCAGATTGAAGTCACACCTCATTCGTCATCAGAGAACACACACAGGAGAGAGACCATATGTGTGTAATGACTGTGGGAAGTCCTTCCGCCAGAAGACAACTCTCTCTTTACATCAAAGAATTCATACAGGGGAGAAACCTTATATTTGCAAAGAATGTGGGAAGTCCTTTCACCAGAAGGCAAACCTTACTGTACACCAGAGGACTCATACAGGAGAGAAACCTTATATTTGTAGTGAATGTGGGAAATCCTTCTCCCAGAAGACAACCCTCGCTCTTCATGAGAAAACTCATAATGAGGAGAAACCCTATATTTGTAGTGAGTGTGGAAAATCCTTCCGCCAGAAGACAACCCTTGTAGCCCATCAGCGAACACACACAGGAGAGAAATCCTATGAGTGTCCTCACTGTGGAAAAGCCTTCAGGATGAAGTCATACCTCATTGATCACCACAGAACTCATACAGGAGAAAAACCCTATGAATGTAATGAATGTGGGAAATCCTTCAGTCAAAAGACAAATCTCAATCTACACCAGAGAATTCATACAGGGGAGAAACCCTACATCTGTAATGAATGTGGGAAGTCCTTTCGCCAGAAGGCAACCCTCACAGTACATCAGAAAATACATACAGGGCAGAAATCCTATGAATGTCCTCAGTGTGGGAAAGCCTTTAGCAGGAAGTCGTATCTGATTCATCATCAAAGAACTCACACAGGAGAGAAACCATATAAATGTAATGAATGTGGAAAGTGTTTTCGACAGAAGACAAATCTAATTGTTCATCAAAGAACTCACACAGGTGAAAAACCTTATGTTTGTAATGAGTGTGGTAAATCCTTCAGTTATAAGAGAAATCTGATTGTCCATCAGAGAACTCATAAGGGAGAAAACTTGGAAATGTAATAGATGAAGTGATTTCTTTGTGAACACTTTCCAAGCTATTGTAATCCTTTAGTTTTAGAAAGAAAAGTATGCTTAAACATGTTCATGTGATTTTAATCACAAATGTAGTAATAGTTATTAAAGTCTCATACTACATAACTATTTATTGTTTCCAAGCATAAGAAAAGGATTTGATCATTGTTATTGAACTCAGTCATCTATAAAGCTAAAGTGTTTAGCTGCTCCTGCTGACTCAAATGCTTTATTAAAAAATATTTATATAATGTATTCATGCAAAAGTTACAAAATTATCAGAATTAAGCTCTAGAAGAGAAAAAACTAGGAACTCTAATCCTCATTGCATTGTGTATAATAAAGCATAATTAGTTGTTCCTTCCCCAAAGATGACTCCTTCCCTGACTTACAGTTTTTGCATGTTTTTAAACTTTATATATTTTTTAACAGACATCATGAATTCTTTTCTGTCCTCCTTTATTTCACTGAACATTTTAAAGATTTGTACATTACTGCATATGGCAGTAGTGTATTCATTTTCTATACTATTCCATTTTAAGAATATACTCCTATTTATCCTATAGATGGATATTTGTATTTTTTATAATTTTGTGTTAAAATATTGCTATAAATATTCTTGGTTATGTCTTTTGGTGTGTATCTGCTTATTTCTGTTTATTTTATATCTAATACTGGAATTATTCATCAGTATTATTTAAGTCTTTATAGTTAGGATACATATTGCAAAACAGACCTTTCTCAACATAATAGATTCTGGAGAGAGGCAACTTTAAATACAATTGGTATAGCAAAGTCTTTGGCACTCATTTAAACAAAAATTCTCACTGAAAAGAAACATTATAGCCAGGTGTGGTGACCCACGCCTGTAATCCCAGCACGCGGGAGGCTGAGGCAGGAGGATTGTTGTGAGTTGGAGGCCAGCCTGGGCTACAAAGTGAGCTCAAGGTCAGCCTGAACTGCATAGCGAGACCTTGTCTCAAAAAGAACAAAAAAGAAACATTATAGCCGGGCATGGTGGTGCATGCCTGTGATCCCAGCACTGAGGAGGCTGAGGCAGGAGGATCGTGGAGAGTTAAAGACCAGCCTGGGCTACAAAGTGAGCTCAAGGCCAGCCTGAACTGATTAGTGAAATCCTGTCTCAAAAAAAGACAAAAAGAAACATTATAATGAAATAATTATGAGAGGTTATATGAGTGTAATAAATGTAGGAAGACCTTTAGTTGTCACTCAATCCTTAACAAAGAAAAAATTCATATTGCAGAAAAATACTGTTGATCTTATGACTGTAGGAGTACTTTTAGTCCTGGGTTATAACTTACTCAACAACAAGCAATTCTTACAAAAGAAAGGGATGTTGACAACTGCAACACTTGAATAAAATTTCAGAGCATAGTAATTGCAGTGAAGAAAATTCTGAAAAATAATATCCATATAAAATCTTATATACCTTAATCTGTCTCATAAGAAATGTGTACTCCGAAAATCCCAAATAAATCATTCACTGCAGAGAATTAGGAAACTGCTAAAACAGTAACTTCTACAGCATCTGAGAGAGTAGTAAGCTTAACAGCAATTGGATACATGTATTGAAGGTCCTTCTTAAAAAGGATTACTTATAACCAATGTTTACTACATATGTAAAATCTATAATAAAATTCATATATTTTAAATAGCTCCTTAAAGAGTAAAATCCTGAGATTTCTGTACATCTGAGTAAGCAAGAAGACATTTCATGGTTTAAGCATCTGACATATAAAAAATTCAGCAGGAGCCAGGCACGGTGGTGCATGCCTGTAACCCCATCACTCATGAGGCTGATGCAGGAGGACTTCGACAAGTTGAAGGCATCTGAACTACATAGCAGAACCCTTGTCTTAAAAAAAAAAAAAAAAAGAAAAGAAAAAGAAAAAACAGGCCCAGAGTAAAGGACAGCAATTGCCAGTTTATAGTAAATGGAAACAGCTTCACAGTTGAGAATTGCAGATAATTTCGGAGCAAAAATGGACTGGGAAAAACTGTTAAGAATTTAAATTTGGAAGGGGCTTGTGTTAAAATAATGCCTTGTTTGGACAGTTTCATAACATCCAGTGGTAAATCATAATTTGTATTTATAGAAGTTTCTATTTGGTTGATTTTAAGAGTACAGGAAGTATGAACATATTGGAGTAAAATAACTAGAACAAGAAGATAAGATTCCAGGACTACTCAGAACTAGGAAAACATGATCTTATTTCACATGAAGTAAGTTTATAGATTAATAAACACTATTATATATTTACAGTGGTAACAAAAGGATTATACTCATGAGCCAGGATGCACGCCTACCTTTTCCTAGATGCACAGTAATGAGGAAGATGGCCTAACAGAAATGCCTTAGCATCAGTTCACTAAAGATCTTGGGGATACTGAGTTCAGTTCTCTTGGACAGTCTACTTGCCCTTCTTTCTGCTTTTGCAGACATTCATTCAGTCACTGCTACAAAAATGAAATATTCATGAGATCTTCACATGTACCATCCTGCCTTCTGACTTACTGATTTTATGGGAGCCATACTCTGTTTATAGTAGAACATGGTGTTATGTGTGTTCTTTATACATACAAAATATGGTCATGTTTATATGATTTTACTATGAGGAGCTACAAAGTATGGTGTACTGGTGGAGAGTTTAATAAATAACTGCCCTGGGCTGGGATATAGCTCAGCAGTGCAGCACCTGCCTGGCAAGAGCAAAGTCCTGAGTTCAATTCCTGGTACAAAAAAAAAAAAAAAAAAAAAAAAAGATGCACTTTAAAGCTGGGTATGAGGGGGAGCGCTGGTCTTCCGACCGGCTCACTCCCTGTCTTGGAGGCACCTGGAAGGAG